TAAGGGAAGCCACTATGGTATTTTTATGTATTTTATAATTATTTTTAATATCTTTATCTCAAATTATTTTCACGATTAACTAGAAAGCAAAAAATTTTAATATATTTTCTTCACTAAAGCTAATCCAACGTCGCGGATACTACGACGATAAACCCCAGGATTTCAATCAAACTTGGTATCAATACAGTGTAGGATTTGGATCACTAAAGGAAGATTTCTGGCTTGGTTTGTATGCTTTTTCTTACACAGGAATGTTTATATGTGGGGATAGCATGCGCGTCATGGCTTCTTACTAACATGTAACAACTAAATGAAGTTTTAAAGAAAACAGTACTTCTGTATTGGCTACTGTTATGTAACATATCCTGGTTAACCTAGAACTCAAATCTCGCAGAAATAAAGATATTTCTCTAGTATATGATGGAGAGAGAAATCTCTTAACGTTTAAAGATTAATATAATGAATATATCGGTACTATAATTGTATCGTTATTTTTGGGGAACACTTTTGACCGAGCGATTTACATTCATCTGTTTTTTAACAAGAACTTGCTGTTAATATTACAAACGAATCCGTTAAAGACATTATTTAAGATATGGGATAATCTTGTAATCTTTAACGAGTACAAAAACACTTGTTATAAACTGAGAGAACATGCTATATTTTATGATTAATTGTTTGTTATTCTCATTTTGATAATTTTACAACTTATATGTGTGAACAGGTTAAAATTGTTCAGTCTCCAGGTTTTATTTCAGATAAATATCGAATCACCAGAAATATGTTATTACAACTTACTCTAATTATTATCTATAACAATATTAGACGAAAATCTCTCTGTGTGTATATATCTCTTCTAACTGATGAACCACCTCACCGGGGTTCAAGTCATACCTCTCTATGCAACCCATGATGAACCTCTGTCTTCCCAGTATGTTGAACGGGTACGCCAGCTACTCATCTATTTTTGTATCACCTGCTCTTTAACCTTTCATTCCGTTAGCATGGATGTGGGTGGCAGGGTGCTGGTGATAGATATTAGATACACCGTTTCTGGTATCACTTGAAAAGAAACAGTATTAAATACATCGTTTCTGATCTCAGCTTGATAACAAACCGGATTGAATACATCGTGTATGATATCAGCTTTATAAGAAACAGTATTAAATACACCATTTCTGATCTCAACTTAAAACTTCTAAAACTTGAGAGAATAGCACAGAATATAATACCAAGCAAAATGGTATTCTAACAGACAGAAATATTACGTTTTACCGCTAAATCTCGTTAAAATTTCCATTGATGTTATTATGGTTTATATTGTAAAGTTTTCCATATTCTACGTCATCCAGTGAATCGAACAATACAGTCATGATATATTTGATAGCTGTCTTGCTCTAAGTCAGCTGCTAGCGTCTATACCCAAAGTGGTTGATAAAACATAGACATTTAGTATAGTTTAGTAAAACTATTAAGGAAATAGCTAATTCGTTTTGTTACTTACTAGCCACATTTCTTTGTACTGTATATGTATTGATGTTCATAGAACTCTTGAATGAAGCTAAATGTTAAATGCTGAACATTTGATATCAAATAAATGCTATTTTTTAATTATTCACTCTCTTTGTATTTTTGTAAATATTTGTTTTTCTTTTATTTATAAATAGAGAAAATTATCTACGCTCTTGTAGATATATCATTGACAATTTGTTTACCCTATTCATTTATGTTATACATCATACTTAAATGAAACAAAAAAACAGTCTACATATAGAAACAGGATAGTTATGATTAGTATTATGTGTTTGTAGTAATGATGTCCCATTAGTTTAGTATACTTCACTGACTTTATTAAGTTCATTCCTCATGTCTTTATTTTTTAGTGTATTTACAATGTGAACGATTGTCTC